AACTTCTGATCATGGAGATTATATCCTCTTCATATCCTGACAATATCTAATGAGTTGTTTTTAACTGCAGGGATCTGTTTTAACATATATTGTGAAACTTTCTTTAAAGAATTTGTCAAACCGTAGACATTCAATTGAAGTGGGTTCCAACAAATTCAGTTGGATATTCAGTTTTTAAAGATTACGTTAAAGGAGATTGCTGAGGATGAAGCTGCTTTAGATTTCTTGCTTGATGAGGTAAGGACTGTTCAAATTGAAATGAAATTTCTCTGACTATTCTTTTAATGGAAGACCGGCCAACTAGTTAAATTCCCCATGCAAATTCTTATAATCAATGCTAAACGACAAGGGCGTTTAATGGAATCTTTTCCTTAATTGATTTGGCTAGGTACAATAAACCCTGAAACAACAATTCTTGAGCGAAGAAAGTTTTCCATATGTTCTTATAGTTCTACTGCAGAATGAGAAGTGTTGATGTGTTTTTATCAAGCAGGTGATTGTTGTCACTGCAGAGCGTCGTTTAGATCCAACTCCTTTAGAACCTCCCATATTGGACAAACTTGCACAAGCAAAGTTAGCAAAGAAATCAGTGCAGAGCCCTGTTTTTGAAATTGGTCAATTTCTTACTATTCATCGATATATTTCATTCTGATTACGTTTCTTCTCAAGCATCAATAATTTATTGTTATATTTCATATTGGACCCGGAGCTGAAATGCTATCTTGTTTAAAATGGCGGGTTTCTGAAACTTCAGCTAATGTACGTTGGTTTCCTTCTTGCATGGAGATGTTCCCCTTCAAGTATTTCCTGTCAATTTCTTAAAATTTTCCTGCAAGGTTCCGCAAGATTTTTTCTGTTGGACGGGTTTATTGTGACAAAGAGAGGACTAGAATTAATCAATGGATGCTTGTGTGTGAAGAGCAATCTGTAGGAGATATTACACTGATAATGTGCATATTATATTCATCAAGAGCATGCCGTTAGTATGCGTGAAATCGAAACATCATTCGACTTACCGAAATCTGATTTGAGAAGATAAAATAGCGATTTACCGACTTCAAATATAAGAATATAAATTCCTCACTTCCCAATA